TTTGTGTATTTATCAAACAAGACTGTTTAAATGTATGTTGCTAGCGTTTCCATATATCAACTCTAATATCAGCAGATGGCCTTGCATACATGTATGTATCTCATAGCAGGAGAATGTCTGCATTCACACACGAAATACTCATAGACAGTATACTCCGGGTGATTTGCCGTACGGTCAGTCGCGAAACGTAATTACAGTATAGCTGGCGTAGCGTGTATGCTACTGAGCTAACCAACGGAGCTAGACATGGGTTTGCTCGGGAAAACACGTTCTTGCTAGCCTAATATGAATCACTAGCTTTTGTTCATAGTGGTTTTATTACACTAAACAAGCCCAGCTCATACAGTATACTCCGGGTGATTTACCGTACATTGTGACCGTACATGTACATACTGCATGTATAGCTAACGAGGCTAGCTATACATGCTAGCGCAAAAACAATGTATTCATGACCGTTACAATGAATGACCGAACGTAGCAGACTACCCGTATAAGATTGCAATTATAAACACGTTATTGCTAGCCTAATATGAACCACTAGCTTTTGTTCATAGTAGTTTTATTACTCTACATTATAGTTGCCGTTCCTCCGAGCTAGCGTTCATATCGTGTTAGCTACCAAGGTAAACAAAGCTAGGTTAGCATATTAGCTGGCAAGCTGTTAGATGGATTAGATAGATCCACACTCCTACCACAACTACTACTAACGAATCTAAAACAACTAAGTTTCTCTAATATTTTGTGATTTGCATTTGATTTCGTCCAGCCAGATCCTGCCGGACAATACATGACGGGACTACCACACTGATGCATCGTCCTAAAAAGCCCCGGCTGCTATAGGCAAGATGCCGACAACGGGGAGTAATTGATGATATACCGTGTATATATATATATATATATCAGTGACGTGCGGTGAGGTTCATGGCTGGTGAGGCACTGACTCACTGAGTCAGATTTACAAATATTATATTTTGACCTTAATCGAAATATTCGGTTATTTTCAAAAGCTTTTTTAGTCTGATGCTTCGATTCATTTTAAACAGACCGTTCAACAAAAGGATACCCAAAATCTAAATATTGGATTGTTCTTTCTTAGTAAGATCCCATTTTCATTACAAATGTGGTCTTACCTTGACTTGAAGATGAAGTCCATGCTATCCTTCTGGACAACAATCTCTATTACTTTTTTGTAAAAGTCCTCCTTATCTTCCTGTAGTTTCAAAAGTCTAGTTTGTTGTTACGTCTACCGTCTCTGCGTAGAATTACAGTAGCAACAATAACCTGTGGGCTCACGTGCGCCCCCTTCAGTGCGGCAGAGGTTATGGCTGCCTCCCCTGGTGCATTTGAGACCAGCCCGTTGAGACCAGCCCGTTGAGACCAGCGAGCCTAAATATCATATATACGTGAAATAAGTTATTGAGAGACTATGGATGGCGAGGATAAATGTAATAAAGGGATCTACAAACATTACATTGGTGACCTACAGTGAGATGGGAACAGGCATGCGCTTAGGGCCCGCTTTCCAGCCTGTTTCTGTGGGGTGACGCATTCTGAAGTGAGGCAGAGCTCATCTGTGCCTCACCTCACCCCACAGTAACTGGCTTGAGCGCGCTCACAAAATAAGTGCCCGCGCTAAATTAGTGCCCGTGCTCCAGCAAGTTACTGTGGGCTTACGAGAGGCAGAGCACGTGCCTGCCTCACTTCTCATCGCTCCCGTAGCGGAGTTCGGCAAATTTGCTGATTTTGACTATAAAAAGCGATTAGAATCATACATAAATCACACTTACAACACAGATCAGTGGAGACATTTTATTATTATTACTATTTCGTTTTTCTTTAGTTGTTTTTCCGTTACATTGGAGTATGACAGGTGAGGCTCTGCCTCCCCTGCCTCCACTGACTGCACGTCGCTGATATATATATATATTTACGTTCATTTTGTACATTTCTAAAAATAAAGTTGAATGGAAATACTTAGTAGGCCTATCCTTTCTTCCCTGAATTATTTGCTCCTATAACATATCATTCATATATAGCAAACCATGATTTGATTTCTCATCAAACTGTAGTAGTTTATAACAGGTAAAAATAACTTACTCTTTGTTATGACTGGCTCGTAGGCCACAACGGAAAGACAAGGAGACATACACGAGTTTACAAAACCACGGCACATTTATTGTGGTAAATGCAGAGATAGGTGGTCGAGGGGAGAGGATCGCTGAGCCGCTTTGGAGAGAGAGAGGGGCCGCCGTGTGACTCCGGGCAGCTGGGCTTAATAGCACCTCGGCTCCGGCCAGGTGTCCGTGATCGCGCTGATTAGCCTCTTCAGCTCCACCCCATCGTAAGACAAAGGCCCTGGGGCCGTCACACTCTTCTATAACAACAGTTGTAGGTACAGTTCGGTTAGTTAGCGTATAAAATATACGGCTGTACCGACGCCATTATAAGACTGATGTTCCGCTGAGAGCGAGCCGGAAAAAGCACTGTTAGACATGGGCGGAGCCTCTCTGGTGGTTGACTAATCAGAACAGAGTGGCCGAGCTGACCAATCGGAGCACACTAGGCTCACAGGGAGGGGGGGGCAAGAGCTCCAACGAGTCGTTTAGTGGAGAGAGTGAATACTGCTGAATACACATACTTGACAGAGATGCTGTATGCGAAACCAATGTGAGTTTGGAAAATTGCACAGTATAAATCTATTTTAGTAGACCTCAACAATGTAATTATGATCAGTGGAAATGGCCATGACATGGGCCCTTTAATTACTTTTCATAAAAAGACAGCTCCACTCCTTTTATACATATTTTGATATTTGAATCCTTATTTTTTTCAGTTGCAGATTTTCCGTTTTCAGATTCCAAACAATAATTTTTTCAGTTTCAAATCTTGTTTTTTCAGGTTTCACCGTTTTTTTCGCTTTCAAACTTTTGGCCCTGATGTTGCTTGGGGGGGGCGGGGCTTACCAAAGAGTAGTTTTGCATCCTGAGTGACAGCCCTCCCTCTGTCATGTTGCCTTCATGGATGTAAGGTAGCGCGAGAAATATAACTCAACACTTTCTATACACAATACTCCCGTGATTGGTGGAAAACCAAACTGATACCAGCGTCAAAGTTCCGTTAAGCGAGCTGTTGAGCATCGTAGTTCAGAATCAGATCAGAATCAGAAAACCTTTATTAGTCCCACAGAGGGGACATGTACGTTGTTACAGCAGAAAAGAGCCACTGACAGCTTAATGTATATAATAATATATAATATAATGCTTAATATATTACATGCAAACAAAAGTATTTAAAGTTAAAAAAAGTTATACAATTTACAAAATACACATCCTGTAACAGTTCTGAGGATTTAGCAGCCAGGTATATATTGCAGTTTTTAACGGCATATATATACAGGGTTGGGTGAACCTCATCTGCACTTTTCCCCATAAAAATGAATTTTAATCAATACTTTTAGATGTAAATGGTTTATTGTATCATTAGGGTCTCTGAAACAATCAGATTTTTAGCACTCTGTTCCCCGCAGAAACGACTTTAAACCATCAGTGTCACTATTGTGGGGATGTAGGAATGTACGTGTGTCTGGTGCGGAGCCTCCCTGCACTTTAAATCAATTGATTTGCCTTTTTTTAATCGTATTTTCTGCTGTTAATGCACTGTGCTCATGTCGGGTGATGCGCTCCCTGGAGCTCTCCTGTGGGGAATCTTGGAACTGCACTTACATCACTTGATGCTTTTTAAGCCATTTAAAATAGTTTTTCTCACTTTTAAAATACTTTCTGCCGTAGAAATTATTTTTAATCAGTATTACCGTTATTTAGGGGCTGCATGAACACACATTTGAGCATCCCTACACACTTTCCTCCTATTTAAAACCCTTTTCAGTGAGGTGCTGCAGCCTGATTCTCTCCTGTTTCTCTGCCCCTATTTAAAACACTTTCCCTCCTATTTAAAACACTTGCTAGAGGAGAAATCTCTATTTCAGCCCTGATTTTGGCACATCTTGTAAATTAGTTAAATTTATCCTTGTGTTTTTATTTAAGTCGCTGTTCATTGTTTGTTATATAAAGCAGATTGAAGTATATCCTATGGACGCTGATGTGTGGATGTTGTGTCCTTTTGATAACTTTGTGGAGCTTGTTTTTAGCTGCATGTCTTTTTCTATCTCACTGAACAAAGTCCCTGTGTGTGAACTGCTTCAGCTCGTGAGGCTGGTTATGAAACAGAGGGAGGAGCTGCAGACAGGTGAGGGAAGGGGAAAGTAGGAAGTCAGACTGCCAGACGCCATTTTACAGCTCGTCAGGAGGAGAACAACAGGGTGAGTGTTAACACCAGGATCTGCTTTTTAATAACACATTCATTATTTACTCTGCCAACTGGATGTCAGAAAATAACTTATTGGTTAACAATCTGCGTCCTAGAGTCCAATGAGACTTCTGCAAGTGTTGTACACTTTTATTATTGCCTGTTTTTTGAGTTACATAACATGTGACAGCCCAGCGCAGTCAAAATTGTGTGTGTGTGTGTGTGTGTGTGTGTCAGTCTCAGACTGGAGAAGATGAGTGATGTAAAAGAAGAGGAAGAGGACAAATCTTCAGTCTCCAGCGGTCTGTCTCTGAAGAGTGACCGGTCTATGGAGAGACCTCCAGGCTTCAGTAATGAACCTGGACCCTCAGACACAAAGTAAGAGTTTCCACTGTAAACTGACCTGAAGAGGATCCAGTTTGTTGGTATCTGATCATCTAAACTGTTTAATGAAACCCAGTAGAGTACATTAACAAAGTTGAATTGATCTCTTGCTTCTTGTCATCATCAGAGATAGTAAATAATCTACTAGTGAAATCATCCTCACTCTCTACATGTTGGACTTTGTGTTAAAGTGGACCTATCATGCTATATTTGAATAATATATTGTAGGGCCATACTTATATAAGGTATATTTATACGTTTATGTTTTCAAAATACCAAACAGATCATGCATTTTAGCCATGCCTCATTTCACTCTATGTGCTGTTTGCTGTCTACGGTCTGATTCTGTGAGCTGCAGCTGACCACGCCCCCCTGCAGGAGAGGGGGGCGTGACACGGCCCCGGCACGAGTGTCATGTTACCATGCCGGCCCCGGCACGAGTGTCATGTTACCATGCCGGCCCCGGCACGAGTGTCATGTTACCATGCCGGCCCTGGCACGAGTGTCATGTTACCATGCCGGCCCCGGCACGAGTGTCATGTTACCATGCTTGCTGTGATTAGAGTGGAGAATAAACATGTTATCTCAGAGCAATGCATGTGTTCAAGCATATTACAAATTTGATCCAGAATCTGACTCTGAAGAAGCGGAGGTTTCGGTGGAGGTGCAAACATCTCGGTTGCAGCAGGACGTTTCTGAATGGTTAGTTGACAAGCTATTTGTTACGATGCTTGCTAATTATTCCGTTTCCGTTCATATTTTGGCTAATTAGCAAGAATGCAATGTGTACAGTTTGTAACATAGAGTTTGTAACGCAAAAACAGCGGTACATATATATATTTACATAGGGAGACATTCATCTTTTCAGCAATGGCCTCATTGCGTTTATTAATAATATACAGTCCTTTTCTTCCAACATCGTGCAACAACTGTTACCGTTGGAAAGTTCAATAACTTAGGGTCATAAAAAGTATAACTCCAGATGCTTAAACACCTCAGTTGTCAGCAATGTGTGTATTTTCATATGTGTTTTTAAAAGCTCAGTTATTGACTTCTTTCTACAGGTGTACATGTGCAAATTACGCTGCAATGCCATCTGAACCAGAGAATGTGTGCTGAATGGAGATACTGTACCACAGGTAACATTTTTGATAGCTTCACTAAGTTCTCTGTTTAGAGAATACATTTTTCACATGTCATTCAATATGTTTATCACACTAGGTGTCAAGACGGATGCAGGAACTTGAGCTCTCTGTGCCTTGTATGGTGGACCATCCTGGTTTGGAGCCTGTGTGCCTAAATGTGTTCTCCCTGCAGAATGCTTTCAATATATACAGAGCTGAACATGGGAGACTACAGATGAGGCAAATACAGCAGTGAGTGGTTTGTTTGTTTTGACTGAAATTGTAAAACGTCTGCTAATATTGTTCATGAAAATAAATACTGATGTATATGGTTTTATGCAATCTTTCATTTCATTCTGTCATTGTACATGGCGTTACTATTATGCAGAGGTGGGAGTAAGTCATACATGTGCAAGTCATGAGCAAGTCTCAAGTCTTGACCTACAAGTATCAAGCAAGTCCCAAGTCACTGCGGTGAGAGTCAAGCAAGTCAAGTCAAGTCACTGCTCAGGTCAAGTCAAGTCAAGTCAAGTCATACGAAATTCTGATGAATAAGCCCAGTTTCCCCATTTAAATCAGTTAAAAGACAGTGGTTATGAAAATGGATTTAACCCACACTATGATCTTCATTACATACACAGTTAATCATTTGAAATCTAATTTAGACCGATGACAATCATATTAGATTCATATTAACCCCAGAACTGCAGACAACTAGGACTCAATCAAAAAGTCTGTTCAAAAAGGCAGAATTCCAGGTAAGGAAATCGTATATGGCATTTGCCATTACACATATTTAATTTAAATGTCTGTTAACACTAGAACCGCCAACAGCATCAGCACCTACATAGATATCATTTTCAAATCATTTAATTTGTTCCTCTTCATAATTTCCTTATAAACTAAGTAGGACGATTTAAAACTCAGTTAATTGGGTTAATTTAGAAATTGCTTCAGTTTATCATCATAACAGATCAAAAAGTTCAAATTCATTTTACAATAAATCAAGAAATGATGCACTTCTACAAACAAAAACAACATAATTAAAACATTTAAACAAACTACTAAAAGTAGATGAACTACATTATTCAACAGTTTACAGTAACTTCTGATAACAACACAGGGGAAATAAACGAGGCATCTCTTTTCCTCTCTCTCTCTCCTGACAGCCCGTCAGTATCAGGGTTAGTCAAAATGAATCCCTTGGCGGTTCTAGTGTTCATTTACCGTTTTGTCTTCTCTTTGCAATGCTTAATCGATTTGAAACCAAGTCTAACGTAGCTTATCAAATCAAATCAAATCAGGTTTTATTTATAAAGCACATTTAAAAGCGATTTTTGGTCGAGCCAAAGTGCTGTACATGTAATAAAAACACATTACTACAAAACACAATAAACGACAATAAATTACAACAGATATAACTTAAAAAACAAAACAAAATAAGAATAGAACACACGGAATAGTCAGGAGTCGTGCTCCGCTCTAACTAGAAAGCCAGAGAGAAGAAGTGTGTTTTTAGTTTTGATTTAAAAATCCCTAGGGTCTGGGCCGACCTCACATGGAGGGGCAGAGTGTTCCAGAGCCTAGGGCCAGCTGCTGCGAAGGCTCGGTGCCCTCGGGTTTTGAGCCTGGTCTTGGGCACTACCAGCAGCAGCTGGTCAGCAGACCTTAAAGCTCTGGCTGGGGTGTAGCGCTGGAGGAGTTCAGCTATATAGGCCGGAGCCAGCCCATTTAGTGCTTTAAAAACAAATAAAAGGATTTTAAAATCAATTCTGAACCGAACTGGAAGCCAGTGTAGTGAGGCCAGAATAGGGGTGATGTGGTCGCGCTTTCTGTGACCAGTCAGCAAACGTGCAGCAGCGTTTTGGACTAGCTGTAAGCGTTTGATTGAGGCCTGGTCCATACCCACATACAGAGCGTTACAATAGTCCAGTCTCGAGGTTACAAAGGCGTTAATAACCCTTTCTAAGTCTTTAAAAGATAAATACGACTTGGTTTTGGCCACTAGTCTCATTTTAAAAAAGCAGGATTTTACTACGGTGCTGACCTGCTTGTCAAATTTAAAAGTGCTGGTGAATGTCACTCCAAGGTTCATGACCGAGAGGAGGATGTTTTTTTTGATAGAGCCCAGAATATCAACCGGAGAGGCTGGAGGTTGCGGTCCAAAAAAGATTACCTCGGTCTTGCTCTCGTTGAGGTTGAGGAAGTTTTTGCTCAGCCAGGATTTTATCTCTGCTAAGCAGTCCATCAGCTGCTGTAGTGAGGGTTTGACATTTGCTTTGAGAGGCAGATATATCTGTACATCGTCGGCGTAGCAGTGGAAGGGAATGTTATGTTTTGTGAGTATTGAACCTAGGGGCAGTATGTACAGTAGAAAAAGGATGGGGCCCAGAATCGAGCCTTGGGGAACCCCACAGGTAAGAGGGGCTTTGGCAGAGGAGAAGGCACCTAGCTGTACTGAGAAGCTACGGTCTGTCAGGTAGGACCTGAACCATGCAAGGGCAGAGCCTGTGATGCCAGCGGACTGTTCAAGCCGTGACAACAGGATGCTATGGTCCACAGTGTCAAAGGCAGCTGTCAGGTCTAACAGCACCAAGACAGCTGGGCTACCTGAGTCGGCGGCTAGGAGCAGATCATTAAAAACTCTTAAAAGGGCTGTTTCAGTGCTGTGCATGGGTTTGAAGCCAGACTGGAACTTTTCATGGATTCCATGCGTGGTTAAAAAAGACTGCAGCTGGGCGTAGACTACTCGCTCCAGGGCTTTTGATAAAAAAGGTAGCTGGGAGATGGGCCTAAAATTTGCGAGAATGGAGGGGTCGAGATTTTTCTTTTTAAGGAGTGGCTTAACCACGGCATGTTTGAAGGCAGCTGGGACACATCCTGAGGTAAGAGAGGTGTTTAAAAGTAATAAAATACTTGCTCCAACTGATTCTAAAACATCTCTGAGAAGGCGAGAGGGAATGCTGTCTGAGGTGCAGTTTGTCGGCCGCAGGTGCTTGACTACATCCGAGAGAGCAGAGAGGGATACAGGGTCAAAGTGGTCGAGGACAGCAGGGCACAGAAAAGGAGCAGGATCTGGGGTAGCATTAGTGTGGGCTAGCCTAAGAGCAGATACCTTTTCAATAAAAAATGTAAGAAACTTATCACAGAGAGTAGTCGATGGGACAATAGAAGAAACATCACAGGGATTAATGATCGAGTTGAGGACTGTTGGAGTAGAATACCTCTGCTACGCGCCGTTCGTTGGATGAGGCTGGATCTCTATTAAATTAAGAAAGGAATTGAAAACACCGGAATCAAAGTTATAACAAATTATCTGAGTTTACTTCTAGTAGGAAACCAAACACATATACAAGTTATACAGAGTACTCGAGTACCCCGGGCTTTTAGATTTGTGATGCGATGCGGATAAATGCATCGGGACCAGACAAACTCATCAAACGAGAAGAAATTGGACTTCAAGTTTGTGATTCGATGCGGACACAGATATCGGAACCAACAAACTCACCAAACCCAAAAAGCAATTTTACACACACAAACGTCAGTATTTCTATCTGTCTTTGGGGCGGAGATTTGTCGATTCTTCCTTCCCACTTTTCTCCCAAGCGAATCAGAGAAGCCCTGGGGAGGAGCTGTTTAAACTGACCACCTCCTCCAAGTGTCCTGATTGGCTGGATTCGCTTCTGGCCGGGTTCAATAGTTCTCTCCAGGACTTGAAATTCCAAAGTCCCCTAAGGTCAAAAGTCAATTCTTATCTCCGTCCCGATCTCCCCTCCCTACCTTTTCCAGGGGATCTTTTCCTATTTTACGATGTCTTTAACGACTTAGAAACAGCATCTGGCTCTTAGTGGTGATAAGGATCAATGTTGGTGTGTGAAACACAGAATCTCTGAGTCAGTGAGTTTGAAAGTGAGAATAACATTCCTATTCTATATATAATTACCCAAACCGTTGTGATTACATAAAACAGTTCAAACAATACATGTTTACTTCAATACAGTGTAGAATCATATCTTCTTACTTCAATCCCTCTTTTGATCTCACCTCACGAGATCAACATATAGCATTTGAAACATTACCACTGTCAATTTTCTTCTTACTGTGTCTGTCCCAACATTTATATAAACCCATCAGAAGTTGGGATATAGAGCACTTTAAACCTTTAGGAACAGTCCACAACAACAACTTATTATGACAGTGGAGGGAGAATAAAATATGTCTAAAAAGCAAAGTCCTTGTCAGCTGAGTCATCTTTACTCTTCCCTCAATGGTGGAACTGATGAGTCTAACACACAGTGAGCAGATACAAGGCACACAACAACAACCACATGTCACCAAAATGGCAATAAAAGTAGCCACAGAAATCAGAAAAGACATTATCATACTTTTCCCTCTTTTGGTAACACATAGTTCTGTAGAATAAAAAATACAAATCCCTTACATTATGGGATATAAAAATAAAGTTGAAAGTTCCTCAAAAAAATGGATTGTTCAGACAAAGTTCCACACCGGCTATATCAACCTGTTTCAGCGGGAAATGGAGTTCCCTGTGCCGTCTTGGTTTGCCATGTCTTCGTCCCCCCAGCCCGCTGACGGCGGCTTCTGGGGTGCCTGCTAGAGAGATGTGGCCTGATTGTCCTCCCCCGGCCCGCTGATGGCGGCTTCCGGGTCGATGCTGGAGAGATGTCCTGATCCTCCTCCTCCGGCCCGCTGATGGCGCCTCCTGGGTCGACTGTTGGAGAGATGTCCTGATCCTCCTCCTCCGGCCCGCTGATGGCGCCTCCTGGGTCGACTGTTGGAGAGATGTCCTGATCCTCCTCCTCCGGTCTGCTGATGGCGCCTCCTGGGTCGACTGTTGGAGAGATGTCCTGATCCTCCTCCTCCGGTCTGCTGATGGCGCCTCCTGGGTCGACTGTTGGAGAGAGCCAGATCTGTTCTGATGTCATCCAGGGTCCTCGCGACGAGGGCCAACTCTGTCCTGATGTCGTCTAGGGTCCTCGCAGGTGTTTTTCCCGACCGCAGACTGGCTCCAGTGGTACCAGTTGTCTCCCTTTCCATCTAGGCGAACGGCATGAGAGGTCCCCTCCAACCAGACGTAATCTGCTGTGTTGGCCTTGTGTTTCTCGGGTCCCCCTTTTGACGTCAGCAGCCTGTGTGGAGAAGTCTCATACCAAGCCCTTAAGTTGCTGGAAATATGGTTTTGAAATCATCTCAAAAAATAAAAATCAAAAATCAAAATCAAAAATCAAAAT